CTCTTATCTATGGCTGTGTACATGCTCTGGTCTAGTCCGAAATGAGAGGCATCACTGGGGTCATGGTGGGGGGGGTCAGGAAGTTTCAAGAAACTAGAGGAATATTGTGTGTTTCATCGTTGCTTTACTGCACCCTGATTGACTCCTCCCTTCCCTGTGACCCCTCTGTGGGGAATGTTCCACTGTCTACAGATGGGTTTTGGGTTTCTGCTCCAATCGCTCTTGTTCTTAAACATATGATTTTGTTTGTTTGACTGTTAAGGGTCTTCTGATGCCTGTTACCTGGTCCCGATGACACCTCATGCTCACACAGACTGGTGTGCTTCTTCCATGTGGGCTTGTTGTTTCTCTGCTGGATGGCCACTTGTTTCACTTCAAGCCTTTAAGAGCCCAGATGCTATATCTTTTAATAGCCGGGCACTATCTGCCTTCTTCACCACATTTGCTTATGCACCCATTTTGTCTGCAGCGATTGTGTCAGGAGGGTGAGCATCTCAGATTGCCAATTTGTTAGAACAACATGTTCTAACTGAGGGAGGGTATGAGCAGAGGGCCAAAGTCCATCTACTACCTCAGTGTATTGCCATATAAATATATGTACATAGGCCCATACTTCTATTTTTATGGATTAATGTAATTACATATGGACACCCCTATGCTCATGTCTCTGTCCATAGTTTTGTTTCCTAGATTATTCCTCTGTTTCCTTTTACCTTCCTTCTACCCCACCATCAGAGCATAAGTTTTAATACTTGAGTTCTATAAGGCTGTTGGCTCTTCCAACCTTCCTTTAGAGTGTACTTTCACTGAGGCCATATCATGACGTGTGAAACTTGTGGTTACTGAGGAAATGACTCCAAATATAATCTAAAAATGGTCAACTTTCTGAACTCAGAAAACCATATTCCTAGACAGATCTAATCACACATGCCAGTTCTTACTGAGGAACGTTTCAGCCACGCCCAGTTGTACAAGTTGTGCACAACATCCAGTTTCTCTCCCTTGCTGCCTAGAGAAAAGCAGTTTGGCACAGAATTGTATCTTAGTGTTCAAGTGTGAAGGTGCACTATCAACACTTTCATTAATCTCATTCTCCTCCCAATTAGGGAACTTCTTCCCTCATTCCTCCAGGGGAAAAGAAAAAAATGCAGGCTTACAAACCAAGCATGAAGCTAGATTAAGTGGATTTAGCCTAAAGATACTGTTTATCCACCCCTATTTTTCACTATTTCCTTTCTTCCAAAAAGTTTTGGGGTTTTTTTTGGTACTTTTATATTGGTAGCTAGAAAAAAAAGGCCTTGCAGACAAGGGAACAACTAAGAATTAAGTCAATTGGGTCTTTATGCAGCATTTTATGAACCTCACAGAGAGTGAGCACATTCATAAATTCTTACGTCCTTATTCCGAATGTTTTTCAGAATTACTCCTTTATAATTACTCAAGGGACATGTGATAAACTTGACATACCTCCAGTCAGCATCTTGGCTAAGCTTGTCTAATTGCATACTTATTTCTACCTTGTTTTTTGATCTTCAGAGAATATGAGTTCAAGAACAATGGGCTACCTTGACTCTTTACATTTCAAAATACATGATCAAAACTAAGAATTTCATAGTGAGCTTGACACCATTTGAAAGCAGTTTGCTAGGGTGAGCAACATTGGTAGGAAGGGCAGGAAACCTATGTGATGTCAATTCAAAAGTCCTGGGAAAGCATTCTTATCCCCCAGATTTTCTACCACTGCTTCCAGCTATAGGCTAGTGTTTGAAATTCAACAATCAAAGTGTCATCGTTTTTACTTAACATTCTATTCTTATTAAAAGCAATAGACACATAGAGAGCAAGTGGGAGAGAGAGAGAGAAATCCCTAAACTGTTCTTGGAGATTCATTTGTAAGTGTGAATGAGAGAATGAGAATTGATTTTGTATTTGAGTCTAGGGGAAAAAATGCTTGTTGCCCAGAATCTGAAAGAGGCCATGGAAGGAGTCACATCGATGGATTAGGGCACAAAGTACATGGACACATGATGGATGGCTTTATTTCGTGATTATGCCTGGATTGGATTCTAATATTGCTCACAATGGTGTTAGTTTTTATTCGTTGAGTTTCTTTCATTTTCTTCGTCTTTGAATCTGCTTTCCAACAGCTCAGGGAAGAGACTGTAAAGCTAAATTGTTGAAAGGGACTATACACAGAAATGAATTGATGACTGATATCGACTGGCTTTCCTTGTTCAACTGGGGAAGTGGAAACTGTAGTATCTCAAAGTAGCACAGAAAGGAAAGGAAAGTTTGCCCTTTTTATAATTTCTCCCATTAACTCACTTACCGGCAGCCAACATTATCTCTAAATAAGCAAACATTACATGATAAATCATGAAAAGGAAACCCAGAATCTATTAAAAAGCATAGGGTATTACAATGCAGTGTCTTTTTTTTTTTTAGCAATATTTATTTATTTTAATTTTTTTTAAACATTTTATTAGGGGCTCATACAACTGTTATCCCAATCCATATACACATCAATTGTGTAAA